ACTTCTTGACAGCATGAAGTGGAGAATCAACTTCACTATTTTTCTGATCCTAGATAAAATAAAGAAAAAGATAGCAAAATAGAAAAAAAAAAAAAATCAGCATGGCACACTCAGGTAAAAGTCAAAGGTACAGGGTAGAGGTGGGTTGTAAAAGAAAAATATAACAACTGTTATTTGAGTAAAAATACAGTAATTTAGGAATGCTGCCTCCCATTGTTGTGTCATTCTTATAGCTGTTTACTAATTAGAAAATGGCCTCCTTTCTCCTACTTTGTCAACCCACCACTTACACATTAAGACTTATATTATAATATTATATTCAAGAAGACTGCTAGAACTCCCAAGGCTAGGCTAAGGATTTACCTTTACTTATTACTCCACTTAAAATAATAAATTGAAATAATTGGTTTACTTATCTATCTCTTGTGGAGGCTAGAAATGGAGAATAAAACAAAATGTAGAAACAGGACATTTCTGCCAGCTCCAGAAAACATGGCAAAAACCTGCTCTCACTAAGCAACTGTTTAAGATATTAAGTAACTCCAACTTTAGGGATAATAACTAACTTGTTCCTTTAAGTTTATGTGAACTTTGTTTTGAATCCTGCATAACTTGACAAGATCAGGGTATATTCTTTATGGCATCCCCAACATCTAGCACATGCACACATAAAACCACAAACCAAACCTATTGCCAATGAGTTGATTCTGACTCATAGCAACCCTATAGAACAGAGTAGAACTCCTCCATAGGTTTCCAAGGCTGTAACTCTTTATGGAAGCAGACTGCCTCATTTTTCTTCCACGGAGCAGCTGGTGGGTTTGAACCACTGACCTTTTGGTTAGCAGCCAAATGCTTTAACCACTGTGTGTAAAGTTTGCTGAACACCTGATACTGACAAAAGTAGGAATAGCTTCTGAAGGGAGTATAAATTTTTTTTTTTTTTTTTATTTTTTTTTTTTTTTTTATTAGGATTTGGGTGAAGATTTACAGAGTAAATTCACTTTTCATACAGCAGTTCACATACACTCTGTCTCATGTCTTTGACCAAAATTTACAATGCAGCAGCTCCCCTCCCACTTCCTCCCCATAGTTACCTCCTCCCAGTGTCCATCCCTTCATACTCTTCTGCACCCTG